GTTGCATCCCTAGTATTTACCAAACTACACAGACCCCAATCTGGATTTGTTTTAAATAAAAGTGAAAACTCCAACACATATTTAGGCTACAATGCAGTTTTACATTATCAAAGCTTATTTCATCCCAAAACACTGTTGCTACTACAGATTGTGCTATCTGCTCTTTTTATTTTTTGCTTAAGTGTCCCGTATCTTATGCCAAAATAACTTATTTTGTAAGTGTTTTCTTTTTAAAACATCCCCTTTAAGACACGCGGACTGTGTTTGTAAGAGGTGGGGTACGTAAGTAGGAGCTTAAAGGAGCAGGAATGCTTTAATCTTGACGCTTAAAGTATAATTTAAATGAAGCTAACAATGCTATAAACATCCAACAGATTAAAGAAACAAAAAGGCAGAAAAATGATGGATGTGCACAGGAAAAAAAAACAAAAACGGGACTTGTCTAGTCACAGGAATTAGTGTCTGAACCACCTGGACATCAAACAATGAAGAAATCAAAGGACACGGCTCACAGTCATCACTTGAAAAGCCAGGAAACTTTTAAAGCTTTTAGAGAGTAAACATAAACTAAGCTGAGGCAGACTTCACAACCACAAACAAGCAAACAACGGCTGAGAGGAATAAAATGGACAGGAAAACCCAGGCATGCAAGCATGGAATGAAAGGTTTATTGAACTAAATTAGGAATGTAATCAAACTTTTAAATAAAATAAATGACAGAACACAAACATCTGGACCACAGTTTGCAGCAACGAACACTGTACCTGCAAAACCTACAGACACCAATTTTCAGTATTAGACTTCACATCGTTCTTTCTAAAGCAAAGCGTCTGAAAAGAAACCAAAATACGAGTCGTGGGGATTCAACAAATCTACTCTACTTGTTTTTAAAGTTTCATTTAAAAAGAGGGGAAGGGAAGCAAGGAGAGGTATGAATTATATCGCTGTATAATTCGAATCAAGCTTTACGTGATGGAGCTCTGCTCACTGCTCAGACGGCCGCTCAACTGTACCCAAGTCAAAATACAGATCCTTCACAGCTGCGAGCTCTCTGACTAAACAAAAGTAGCTCTGTAAGTTTGTTCGTGAATAATATAAAAGAGAAAAAACAAAACAAAAAGATAACACCAGTTCTTTGTGTACAACCAAAACAACGGCTGTATTAAAGAAAGTTACTTGATAATTGGACCGTCTGCCAGGTCAGTTCTGGCAGTTTAAACCTGGTCGGGTTTCCAATGAGCGTAATTTTGTTCCTCGTTTGTTTGATGTTTTGGTTTCTTTTTTCATTTTCTCCCCCCTCGTTTGAAGCTCGCTGAATGCCGCTGGGCTCACTCCACTTTGCCGTAGTCCTCTATGTGACCCAGCACCTTCTTCCTCTGCCGGATCATGTGGAAGTAGAGCTGGGGAAAGACTGGGAGAGGCGGGGGGGAAAGAACAGATTAATACATTCTCTAATAAATGCTGATCAGTGCACCAACTCCTATTCAAGTTACAGTTAAGTCAAAGTGCAGATGTTGAGTGCTTAAGAGAACACGTTCACCACTGAGAAATTAAAAACAGGCCACTAAACAACAACAAAAAACATATGAACCCAACTTTCTATCTACACATTTCCTACAATACCACAAAAAGGGGAAAACTATAACCAGTTGCAATAGATTCCACATGCATATCTAATAATGTGACCACTGAGTGCATAATATTGTAATTACGCCATTGATATGTGCGTTTATTTTCTCTTTTAAAAGCCCCACTAATTATGTAATAGCTTATGTCATTATGGGTCTGTGTCCACAGGCAGCTGAAAGCAGCCATGACCTCATTTTCAGCACCCTTCTCTCAGCACTTATTGTTGCTAGGATACAAAAAACATTTTCTTCAGATAGAGATCGTAAATAACTGGGCCGTCAGAGACCATTAGGACCAAAATCCCTTTCACTGTCGTTGACA